GACTATAGACTTACATGTACAAAAACGTCAACCCCACAAGACAAGAGAAATAGTCCGAGTGCAAGGTACCATCCCAACAGCCAACTTTATATTTTTATCACATTGAGTCAAACTGAGTATGAGAATGTGCATGTTACCAATTTGATTCATCAATCAGGTCTGAAAATTTTGGTACATAAAAAAAATTATTGTTTTAAAATAAACTTGGAGAAGCAAACGCAAATTCAGAGATCTGATATACCTAGTAATTATACCCCATTTTTTAAGTCTCATGAAATTATAGTCGTTTATTTACTTATAATCAAGGTTTACATGATTTGATTGAGCTCAACAGTGGGATATGTTTTCATCACTTTTAAACATCCTGTTGATCCTATACTATTGCTTATAGATTCATTTGTTTTAACTGAGGTGATTTATTCTGCTTCACATTGCCATTGGTACTTAAATAGATTTTTTATGTTATTTTTATATGCATAGTTGCGAATTAACAAAATGTAAAATATGTTTTGTCCTTTAGCTACTCAGAATAAATCAGGGATGCAAGCCATAGGCCTTCTTCCAGCCTGTCCTCCTCTAGTGTCAGATCGCTGGAAAGGTCCAGGCCACCATTAAGAAGGAGAACCAAGTAACCAGTAAGAAGTCGCGCACCAAGGACTTTGCAAAACTTTCACCCACAAGAAATGGATAATACTCCTAGAAGATCTCATAGTAACTGTTTTAACAAATTCGTTTGCTTTAATTAGCCTTTAAATAACCAAATGAAATCAAACTGTTAAGTCCATAAAGATGACCTCCAGCTGTTGATATATAAACCAGGTAAAATTCGTATTGCCACCAAATACAGGTCAACATAAAAATTGGATTGGATCTCTTTCACCGCTCTTGAGAGACGAATTTATACCAGCCAGGGCATATGTTGCCCTAGACATTTTACTTGATCTATTATCATTATAGGTTCTGATGGCATTGAAAATGCTGTAAATGAGAAAATTGAAATGCTCAGAATATTCGTTTCCAAGCAACAATGCATATGGAGATACAGACCTGGATGACTTGGTGTCAGTGTCAATCTAGGAGGACCTTGAATGGGAAGCCATGGTGACTCGTCTGAAAAACAGACTTCAGCTGGTATGCTATAATTAATACCTCCAAAAGCGTATACTCATGATAGGGTAATACATTTATGTCTATCTGTCCCTGTCGTTTGTTTACCTGACTGTCTGTTCCTCCTTCATTGTCTGTCTGTCTGGCTAATTGACTGGCTGTCTCTATCAGTCTATTTGTCTGTCTGACTCTCTGTATGTCTGTCTATCTGTTCTCCTGACTGTCTCTTTGTTTGTCTGCCTGACTTACTGACTGATCTTCTTGTTACATAGATTAGCTCCTTGGAATAAGTTTTATTTTTTATTTTCAGGAAATAATGGAAGAAACAAATGAAAAAGTTCCTGAAAAACCAGAACAAAAGTCCAGAAATTTGATTAATGGCAAAACAAGGGTGTTGCAGAATGGCAAATGCTCTGAAAAGAGTGAAGCGGTTTGCAAATAAGGTGAACAGATTTTCAGCAGAACAAGACTTTCCTCCAATGTAATTTTCATATTCATGCTGGTGCTGATCATACATTTGGTAGTTTGCTGCCATGAGTAGGAAACCTATCTCTGAAATTATAATCGGTCATCCACTTGTTCCAAAGCAAACAATGGTGATCACTGTGGCTTGTTTGTTGTTGGATTTGCAGAATGTTTATTGAAAGATGGAAATCTACCTGATTGGCAGATTAAACGTGCAATTGTGGACATATTAAAGAAACATCACCCTGATGACTTAGTCACTTGAGCAGCTGCTGCCGCCATAAAAAAAGAATGTCAGGAGCTCAATCGCAAACATTTGGAATCCATATTACAAGACAAGACCACAACTGAGTTCTTACTTTTACCTGGGACATATTTCACAGAGAACTTGAAAGTTGAAACTTCAATGAATTCTAATGTGCCTGTCAGTCCAGGAGAAAACCCTTCATGTACATTATGAACACAGTACCACTAGCCCTGCACAGTAGATCGATCACAGTCTCTAACTCAGTACTTGTGTGCTTATGCAAAAAAGTTGGTCAAATAGGATACGATTTCAGTCTTATAATGTTTTTTTTTTTAATTGGGGATACATTGGTTATATCCTACATACATACATAAATATACAGCTGCACCATGATCGCATGATATGCCCGTCACTTTATCAAATAATAAAGTTCAATAACTTCTCAATGTCATATCATAAATTCATGAAAAACTAAAGGGCGGTTATCTTAATAGATATAAACCAGTCACTAAGGTTTCATGATAGCTGCTCAAAGCATTGTTTGAAAACTGTATCCCCCTTTTAAATGAATAAAATCACTCAACTCCGAAACGTAAAATAAAAAAATTTAGGGAGCTCATGTCAATAGAAATAAACAATTCACCCAAGTTTCTTGCAAATTAGTGAAAGTGGTTGTGAGTTATTGTCCGAAAACTGGAAAGTCACCCATTTTTAAATGAAAAAAAAAACCCACCAAAACTCGAAAACTTAAAATCCAAAATTTATATAAAACGAAAGGGAGCTCAAGTCAATAGATATGAACAATTCACCAAAGTTTCGTGCCAATTGGTTCAATCTTTTTCTATAGATAAATTGTAAAAAGGGGGCAGGGATGCAGTTCTTTAAGGATCTTAAAAATGCATATCTTCGAAAAAACTTCATTTATTGAGTGTGATATCTAGGGTTTAAAGTCTTCAACCACTGAAAATTTTTAGTCTGCCCTTCCACGAAATATTGAATTGGAATTTTTTTAAATGTTTATGAATTTTCGAAAATTTCACCAGACAACCGATCAGACAATAGTTTTTTAGTTGACTGAATGCAGACAAGTACATTAACTGATGCTCATAAGCTAGTAGATACATTTGTCTTTTAAAACACAACTGGCATATAAGGATCGTAATGGTGCTATTAGGATAAATTTATCGGTTTTCAAGACCTAAATTGGCAGCGCGTCATCCCTAATATGGCTTCCATTTTTACGATTTTAAAAATGAACTGGCGTAATGGAGAGATAAATTTGACGAAGTAGAATCCTGACTGCATATAATGTTTTGTTACTACAATTAATTGAATAATACCTTTGAATGGTTTATTAGGTGGGACCAGAGCAATGTGCGGGATATGAACCTTTGTTGACACTGTGTACAAGTGAAATTTGGTGTCCCATGCTCTCGTTTCTAATACAGTACTTGCAACCTTAGGCGTTACTGTTTGACGTGAGCTTGACTGATCGGTGAATGATCGGTGACGGATGTTTGACTGATCGATGAATGATCGGTGATCGATGACCCATAGAATCCGTCAGATACGTCAAATAGGCTATGTGAGAGTTACCGTGACAACGGTCAGCGATGGATCAGTAAATTAATTGTATGCACGGATCGGACGGATACGTATATAATTAAAATTCTTATGTAAAACGAACTCCACAGTATTTACAGTCAATAAACGCGGACCTCTACGAAGACACCTTTACTCGTTAATTATGTACCACTAAAAAGCGATAAAATGTTATCATTTAAAATAAGTACTCTATTTGTTGTCGTTAGATGATGAAAATAAAAATAGTAGAACAGTAAAGATACAAACAGCTTTGTTAGGATTAATTAATTTAGAGTGTTGTTTTAATTTTTGTTCTAGATTACCAATATTTCTTCTTCTTATAACATATAATGCAATGTTATTTCTGATTAGTTATTTAAAAGGCCTCAAGAAAAGTTTCTTTGATAGAATTTAAAAAAAAATAAGTATTAAAATACTTAAACTTTAATTTGTGTTGATTAAAGATGCAATCATTTCATTATTTTGTACTTTTTGGTCGTTTTCATAAAATATGCTGAATTTCAGGAAAAAGATACTAAATTTTTGTTCAAGTTGCTTAAAAATGCAAATATTTCTTCTTTTATATCAGAAATAATGCACGTCAATTGCAATCAGTCATAATTAATGCATTTAGATAATTAATTTTGTATAAGATATGAATAATTTAAGGATAAATATACATACACTTTTGTTTTTATTAAATAAGAATTCAATAATTTCTCCTTTTTAATGGAAATTATTGGAACGCCTATGGTTTTTTGTACTTTTTATTGTTCAGGATTGGTTGTTTTTTTATAAAATCAAAATAATATATGAGAAAAGATACTAAAATCTTGTTTGCATTGTTTAAAATTACCAATTTTTCTTCTTTTGATAAAAAATAATCCAATGTTATTTGTAACTAGTTATTTCAAAGTTCTCCAATAAGATTTTTTTTGTAAGAATTTTGATAATGTAAGGAGAATTTTACTTAAACTTTTGTTTTGTGTTTAATACAAATTAAATAATTTCTTTATTTTGATAGAAATTATGAACCTTCATTTGATTTTGGTACATTTTGTACATCAGGATTGGTTGTTTTTCATAAAATATGCTCAATTTCAGGGAAAAGATACTAAATTTTTGTTTGCATTGCTTGAAAATGCAAATATTTCTTCTTTTATATCAGAAAAAATGCAACTTCAATTGCAATCAGTCATTATAAATGCCTTTAGATAAGTAATTTTGTATAAAATGTGAATCATTGAATAATAAATATGCATAAACTTTTGTTTTTGTTAGGTAAGAATGCAATAATTTCTTTATTTTGATAGAAATTATGAACTGTCATTTGATTTTGGTTCTTTTTGTACATCAGGATTGGTTGTTTTTCATAAAATATGCTGAATTTCAGGGAAAAGATACTAAATTTTTGTTCGCATTGCTTAAATATGCAAATATTTCTTCTTTCATATCAGAAATAATTCTACGTTAATTGCAATCAGTCATAAGTAATGCATTCAGATAAGTACTTTTATATAAGATATGAATAATTGAAGGATAAATATGCTTATATTACATACAATTTCCAGAGTTTCATATGTAACACATTCTTTTATCATAAATCTAATAATAAGAAAATGTATAACTGTTAATATTTGGATGTGCAGTTCAGTGTGAAAGGAAATAAACCTTCACTAAAATTATAACAAGTTTTAATACTGAATTGCAGCATGGTATAATGGAGCTGATCAAAGAGGTAATACTGGTGGAAGATAAGTTCCATGGATTAAACTTCCAGAGTTTCATGTAATCTTCATACTTGATAAATTGCTTGCTTATATTGGTGATTTTAAATCTGTTCAAAGTTTTGATTTTTCTACCCTTTATACTACATTGCCTCACATTCTCATTAAGACAGAATTCACACACCTAATTAAATGGGCATTTAAAAAGTCAGAATGCGAATACATATGTTCAAACTCTTTTAGGTCATTTTTTTAGTAGCAATAAACAAAAGAACTATGTCAATTGGACATGCTTTGAAACTGTATCTGCCCTTGAATTTTTACAAGATAACATTTTTGTTCGCTTTGGAGATTCCGTATATCGTCAGGTTATCGGAATTCCAATGGGGACTAACTGTGCACCACTTATTGCGGACCTGTTTTGCTATGAGTTACAATTTATGACTAAAATCAGCAAAGACCCATCGAAACAACATCTGATACAAAAATTTAATAATACTTTTAGATATTTGAATGATATATTGGCTCTCAATAATGACGACTTCAGTATGTATACTAAAGAAATTTATCCTGTCAGGTCTATTGGCACAACAATGCCTTTAGTTTTCAAACACATTGTAGAATGGAGTTAACCTGTGTCCAGAGATGATTGTTAATTAGGTATAATGATATTTATTTGAGAACAGAAAATATCATATTGAAATTGAATATAATCCTGGTGTTTATTATGACATCATAAAGAAAAAAAGTAATAAAAAGCTATCAAAGTCTTCCTTTCTGTGAGAGTTGCTGACACCAAGTTCCAATCAAGAAAATAATTGTATAATGCATATATTTCTGCACCTTTTTTCAGGCTTCCACGTTTAATTGATCCAATCTTGCAACCTCTTACTGCTTTTCCATTCAAATGATTGGTTAAGACGCAAAACAGCATCGTTAAATTCAGATAAGGTAGTTGCATGTGCACACCTCCTGAGCATTGCCAATACCTTGTCTTTGGCACCAGATACCCCATTACTAATTTTGGTTGTCCATCTGGTCCAACTCTGTTCTCTATGAAAGTCACGGAGGAAAACGAACGTTTCTGAAAAATAAAATAAATGAAGAATGTGTCCAATTTTATATAACATGCGACACAGATGCCCACGCTTGCATAAAACATTATAAAGGAACATAACACTAGAATCATTAAAGTCATGCTAATTAAATTCAACCTTGATCTGTGTTGTGTGGTGATAAGCATTGTGTATAAGTTTCATAACACTTGGTTAAGAAAACAAAAAAAATAGAGATTATAAACTAATTTTAGGACGTCACAGGGGCAAACAAAAGTTCATTTTCCTATGTTTATACGGAATTATGATTTTCCAAGAGCTGATAACTTGTAATACACTTTAGTTTGTGATTGAGTTAAGTTTCATTTTTTTCCCGTTTCAAATGAAAAAAAAAAATATCATAATTATTAAAGTAGCAAATTAATATTATGATTGTAAATTTAAAATCTTACATGTACATTTTTTAATAGTCCCATATAAAAATAACTAGTTTGGAGTGTATGGGTGTTAAAAGATTGTTTGTTTAAAACGGTATGGTGTAGATTGTGGTAAATTGTCTTATTCAATAAAAAAAATAGCAATATTATAAAAAATAATAGAAAAATAGGGATATTTCTGCCACCTTTTACATTTATGTGTCAAATTGACTTCAGAGTTAAAACACACATATTTAGAGCAGGAATTATTTACACACCAGGAAATGTTGTTTCGATGGCATAAATCTCCCTCTCACAAAAGTCGGTCATGAAAAATCTGGGTTTCCATGACAAGCCATTGGGTACGTTAGTGTCTTCTGCCATCCATCTTTGAATTGTTTCTAAGCCCTGCTGTATTGACGCCTGTGTTTTGATTTGGACTATAAATTCTGCCACCACACTGTAGCCAACATTGGTTTTAACAGCAAGAAAAAATAAAGGAAGAGCATACTTTGTTGTCCTGTAGGTAGCATCTAACATGCACAGTGAATTTCCATACCTAAAATTAAATAACTTGTTATCGTGGTTATGTTTCGAAGTAAAATGTGAAAGCAAATCTCAGATGGTATGCGATCTACTTCACTGATAGAACTTTTTTATCATTGTACCAGTGTACAAATTGCTGTTAAAGTTCAAAGTATGAAAACTTGTACTTATGATGCTATTACACACAGCAACATTAACAGACCTGCCAACATTTTAAAATGACCATGTTGTTTTTAACTTCATTGTACTTTATCAAACCAATACTTATTGTAGATTGATTGTTTAGTTTTAAATAATGGACTAAATTGCCTTTTCAAAATTTTCAACTGGTAGCCTTTAAATAAGTTTGTCTGTTTAAATTTAATATTATGAATTTCATACTACATTTTTTGTTCAGTCTTACTTTTTAATTATAAATTAACGTTTAGAACTGATCCTGCAGCAAAAAATATTAAATGTTTATAAAGAATACCTTTGTAACAGATGCCTTTGAAATTGTGTCTGATGACAAATAAAGAAGGCACTGCTAGCTTCTGATTTCTCAGAAGTATACACCTCATCACTGTCATCTTGTTCTATTTCCTCTATGTTTTACCTAAAACCCAACAATAGATAAAAACGAAGATAAGTTTTTGCTATGTGCGTATAAGGAAGCTAGGCGTAGGAAACATGTCCGTCTGTTATTCACTATATGTAGAGCCGAACTTTAATAATAACGGGAAACCAAAAATGATTGAATATTACAACACTAAAATGGGAGGATTAGATCTAGCTGATCAGTTTGTCAGCGCATATATCTAATTCCTAAATGGTTTGAGCCACAACCCCCTAAAGTCAATTCTAACCATTCTTTAGTAATATGGAACTTGAGATATAATTTCAGAGACATTCGACACACTAACACAAGATTTTGTCTGAAAACTACAAAAATGCTTATTTGGGCCCCTTTTTGGCAACATGCAATTTACTATCAGTCATGAACTAAAAATACGGCAAATAGTTAAAATCTAAATGATTAAACATATCTATATGCGCTAACCAAGCCCCTATTGAAACAATATCAACAAAAAGCTATGAATACAAATACGGATATTTCTTAAAATTGACGGCCATCCTTTAAAAGAGACGGTCATCTTTTACAAACTACGGTCACCCTTGTTATGGATCGCTGTCTGTTAAGGTCTTCTCGATTATGATTTTTTCAAATCCAATTTCCTGTTATATACTCATTTCTAGTGATTTGTGATTTCCGTGTGAATATTTTTATAAATTTACATCGTAGCAATGTATGCTTTGTAAAGAAAATGATTTAGAAACACTTTAACAGACAGTACAGATAATGAATTAATTTTTCTTCCGACATCTTGGGTTTACCGTGAATCCAATTACGGTCATCAGATGTACCCCAGTGGTAATTTAGTGTATGATTGCAATTTTGGAACCAGAACAGGTCTAATTTTCAGTGTTTTTTAATGGGGTAAAAAATGTGTAGGACATGTTTTCTGTTGTATTTATGATTGCTTTGTTGAATGCCGTACAGTGACATATAGTTGTTAATCTCTATCATTTTGGTTTCTTGTTGAGAGTTGTCTCATTGTCTATCATACTAACTCATTTTTTATATTTACTGCAGGGTTTGTTACTCGTGCTGTGTGGATGCAGTAGAATGTGTCTCCGTGCTTGTAGTGTATGCTTAATTATTTTTACAGTTCGGGTATATCTTGCTTGTGGGAGAGCTGACTATGCAGTATGGGCTTTGATCATTGTTGAAAGCCTTACGGTGACCTAAATGTGTTAATTTCTGTGTCACTTTGTTCTCTTGTGCAGAGTTGTCCTATTCTCAATCATACCACACCTTTTTATATTGATTGTTTTAAATAAGGTTTTGTAATCTGCTTCATTTTGCAGGTATCACATTTGACCGTCGGGTCAGCATTGGTTATTTCGGTTGCCTTCATGCCTTTTTGATTACTGCATTTTGTTGATTTTGTGACAGTTATTTGACCAATTTGGATATGTTCATTTGGAAGCAAGGAATAACAACTTCACCATACTCGTCTGTTATCTGTGTGATGGCATAGGTGTTTATCCACATCTCACCATTAAAGTGAATAGTAAAGTAATATATATATGCTTCATTAATAGTGTCTTCTTTCTCCTTTACAATAGTAAAAACATTTTCTAGAATTGATTTCTGTGTCATTTTAGTCTATTGTGGAGACTTGTCTCATTTGCAATTATACCACATCTTCTTTTTCATATATATAGCAACAGAGTACCAATTTAGTATAAGTGAATCAAATTTGTAAAAATAGCAATAAATCTACATATCTGTTTCGGATTACTTTTGACAAACATCTGTCACATGCCAGTTTTATACTTTCTTGCCAAACCATTCACTCTGACTCTCTCAATCATTGACACGAAAGTATTTCATTGCCCAGTCCATAAACATCAAGATTTGGTTTGAAGACGGTGTTAAAACAATATTGGTCTTTCAATGAAAGTTGAACAAAAAATTAAAAGGAATTAACATTTTGCAATATACTTGATCAAAGGTCTCACTAAGATTAACTTCATAACACTTGTTCTCTCTTTTTTCAAGAAGAAAGCTTCTCCACCAAAAAAAGTCTGCAGTGCAAAGTCTTTATTTTAGCCAGAGGAATGCAAGGTGATTTAAAATTATTATTAGACGTTTTTACTTTGTCTATACCTTATACTCATTGCTATTAGTTGAGCATTGCTTATTATCCTTGTTTCAAAAATTCTAATAGGGAACATACTTTACATTATTGTAGCAATTAACCAATTTTGAAGACGTTTATTTAAGCTTTACTTTTTAGTTATTTTGCAATTATGTGAACATTTCATGTCGGAAAATTTTAAACAAGGAACGTTTTCATGTTCATCATTTGCTCCCAAAATTTTGGCTTGGTTTTCATGTTCATCATTTGCTCCCAAAATTTTGGCTTGAAGCGTGTCTGATGATGGTTATTAAGAGTTTCTTTAAAGAAGTACTAGCTACGAGATATGGGAAAGATAAGAATGTCAGTTTGTTCGGTTCAATCATTATTATAAGTGAAATGATACTTCTTTTTCAGCAGCCAATTTGGTTCAATTTTGTCAAAATAATTGCCAGTGAATAATTCAAAATCCTTAAATCGGTTTTCATGTGACATCCATTTTAAACCAAGATATGCAAAAAAAATAACATGTAAAAAGTTTAATCATAAAGAATTTGATAAGCATCTTCCTTAATTTATTTTTTTAGGAAATGACCTTGTTATTGACAAGCATGGAGTTTCGGTAAAGAAACTATTCCCTTCTGAGGAGGGACTGATTGGAAAGATACTTAAAAAAGTGTCAATCAATTCCACAGGAGGTGAATATTACTGTGGCCGATTGATTTTGTTAATATAATTTGTTCTTTGAGGTCCCTGTATTGAGTTAGGGTTTCTTCAATATTCTTGTACGGAGACTTTCTGCACTGGATAGTTTTGTGTAATTTTTGCGTTATTTCACATGTACCTAAGCATAAAAGGATTATAGGGTGATCCAAGTATTTAATGGTGTCTATGAGTGCTTTTAAATGGTTTCTATGAGTGCTTTTAAATGGTTTGTACTATCTACAGATCCCCCTCTCTTGTGGTTTGTAAAAACAAATCCCAATTTAATGGTGATGAACAACTTGTGCATTTCCAATTTGTAAATGTCACTAGACATATCACAGAAATCACGTGATATGAAAATACAGGTGTGTGTAAACATTAATCGGTGCTCTGAATTTTTTTATTACATCTGTATGAACATTTTTCTATATAATTGTGATGACGAATTATGGCTAGATGAAATGCAAAAATCTGATTAAATGAGTATTGTCGATTTTAGGGAAAAACACGTCCAAAAGTATGAGTGGCCGTTCGTGTCTTTGGCGGTATGAACATACCGTATGAAATTTTCAACGCGTTGGTTTTTACTTTCAACGCGTTGGTTTTTACTTTCAACGCGTTGGTTTTTACTATCAACGCGTTGGTTTTACTTCCAACGCGTTGGTTTTCACTATCAACGCGTTGGTCTTCACTTTCAACGCGTTGATTCGTAATTCATACGGTATGAAAAACCAACGCGTTGGTTTTCAATTCCATACCGTAAGTTTTTCATTCCATACCGTAAGTTTTGTACTTTTGTCGGCCAATCAAAATGTTTCTAACAAAGTATTTTCTAAAAATATCCAGTCGTCATCTAACTATTCGGACAGCCTCCGGATTTTTCTTGATATTGGCGGTAAAGTATGAATATGGCTGAATCGTCCGCAGCCCGTCTGCAAATGTTGATAAACAGGGCACAAAGATTAAATACAGAAGCAGCAAGACCACAAGTTGTCGAAAATCAAGATGACGATGATTTCTTGTCTGGGTAAGGTCCGGTTAAAGATTTTTGATCATCAAAATTTACGTCAAAACAATATTTCTTTTATTTTTATATATACACGTCCCTGTTATTATTTTATTGATGTGGTGTTGTAACATGTATCAAAGGGACTTCTCTAGTTGGTCAGACGAGTTTTAGATAACTATTTCCATACAATATTAAGTGTTTAGATACAGCTTTTCTTACACGTGTCAGTCGTGTCAGTGTCATCATATTGTGTTGTTATTGTATGTAACCCAAACAATACAATTATGTCAACAGTTTATATCCACAATTATTAAATCGAGAAAAGAATTATTGAGGTCTGTTAGATTTGATAATTTTGGATGTTAATTTTTATGAAGGCTGTTACTGTATTATTAATATTGTACTGAACTGAACTGATAATTTGCTGATTCTGATTTGCTATCATTTGAGTTATTTTTGGAAAAATATCTTGCAAACTTCAGCCAATGCAGTTATTTTGCCTACATGCTCATTCCCACACAAGTATTTTGCCTAGGGTTAGTTGTCCGCTTGAAATATGGGGTAATTTTTACGACGTTGAATGATATTCCCTATTGGATAACAGTTATTCTGCTTACATGCAGTTTCTGCGGGAAAAGGGTGTTATTTTTTATGGTGTTTACTATAGTAAAGTATAATATTGACTGATGTTTAAAGTTTTTACCTAGTTAACGTTAAATTACAATGGTGCTAAACTGCTAATGTTTATTTATAAATAGTGTGTATATGGTTTACTTAAAAAAAATATTGATACACAGGCCTACAGAAGGGTTCATAAATATGAATTTAAAAAAAGAAATGATATTTAAGTCTTGCTTTATATATTATATTTTGTCAACTGTTATCTTCGGTATTCCAGTATTGTGGTAACCAAGTTCAAGTGATCCGTATGACCCATTATCAGAGAAACCCCTGTGATTAAAATTGAGAATGGAAATGGGGAATGTGTCAAAGAGACAACAACCCGACCATAGAGCAGACAGCATCTATAGGTTACACATGCAGTCATGAGTCGTGTACATTTACAATGTACATTTACAATGTACACATGTAAGAATGTCATGAATCATTGAATGTAGATAAATGTAATTGGATACCAGTTGGTGCCGAACTGTTTCAGAGTTTGTCTGACCGAAAATAGAAACTTGATC